CATTGCCACCGTAGATGGTTATCGTCGTCACCGCCATCTGCCTGCCATCCCTGCCGGTCACCGCTTGCCGCCCGCTTTTGTCATTTGTCGCCTACCGCCACCCACCGCCGTAGCCGCCGGCCACAGTAACCTTCAGTTGTTGCCGCCCGCCACCGTTGTTCGTTGTCGCCATCGCTGCCGCAGCGACACATGCTCAAATGAATAATCCCTTAATCAATTAAGTAGGACCCGATGATAAAAAGATAGTACTAATTCCCATTGTCAGTCCGTATTACGTGTATCTTAGCTTAGATCTGATTTTACACCATCTTGTTGAATATTTAAATTATGGCACTAAAATTATATTTATCTTTCACGAGAAATAACTATGCAACTCTAGAATGATCATCAATGAATGTAGAGAACCAATAAGAGTTGGTGATAATACTGTTGATCTCAGACGATGTCCACATATCACTATGAATTTAGGAAAAAGGATGGGCTAGTTTGTATGGATGATTAAGGTAAGAGGTGCGAGTGTGTTTGGATAATTGACATGTTTTGAATTAATATGATTCATAATTGAGGAAAGAAATTTCCTTTTAAAATATTTAAAATTTGGATAACATATTTGATAGTTCTATTCCATGATTGCATTGTGTATTCATGTTAGAAGATAAAACTACGAGGAAAACATCTAAATTATTTGAACATGCCCGGCGGAAAGCATTTTCTGAGTGGAGCTATTTGTGTGAAGCCATTTACTCCCAGCTATTTAATATGTTTAATTTAGTCCATGAACTCTTCAAATATTATTCAAATAAATGGATCATATTTGAGAAGTTGTGATTATTTTGGATTAAATTTGAAGAGTCAGTGTATTAAGTTGGATGCATTTGATAGTCTGGAATTAATCTATCCATAAGTATTCCAAGGACCATTTAGATATTTTCTATACATGTCCTTTTCCATGATTTGCATTCAAATTCTTTTTTTCTTAAGATTTTCTTCAAGGCCTGAAATTCATATTTATATAGTAAATTATCAAATTTAAAATTTTTTATAATTTTGTTGATGTAAAGAATGTCACAATCGAATTTTAGAATTTAAAGCATAAATTCAAGAACACTATCCTCTGAAAATGAAATATCCAATGCTAGTAACAATAGAAATGGATCCATATTAATTTGAATAGTGAGGATTTTAAAATATGGTTTGTACTAGCAAAAATTGTAGCATCAGTACTCATGTGATCAGCATCTGAGTTGACAATCCATTATCTTGCTTTTCTAGATGTAACTAGGAGAGTTTTCATAGCGTTTTTTTTTTTTTTTGCAACATGCAACAATAGCTTAGCTCCAAACATCACCATTGGTCATAAAGGTTTGTTGAGACTTTGTTGGTTGTTAAAGTATTTTTTGAAACTCTTTGCTGAATGGGTTTGGATTAATATAACGTTGGAGTCTCAATGGAGACGACATTGTCATGAACTTCACGATTCTGTGCTATCCTTCATTTTATGGTATGTATGTTTTTTTGCATCTCCGAACAATTGCTATAAATATGTCCATTCTTGTGACAATAATCAATGTAGGGTCTGTGCGTCTCCTTTGTGTGAATTAATTCACGGTGTGAATTGGATTCCATGGACTGCAGGGGCGCAATTGTCAGCCTTGAGAAGTATTTGGAACCCCTAACATTACTATTTTCTTCTCTTGAACCTTATTCAAGGCTCCACGAATGTTAAACCTTTTTTTTACTCTCCCGCGGTCAAAGTATGAGATGTAACAGAAGTAGACATTTTAGTCTGACATATTTCCCACCAATACTTATTCCAACTTTGCTAATCATTATCGAGCAAGTAGAAATTAGTCTGCTTACATCGTCATTAAATATATGTTATACTTCAAAATTCTCTAATAGATGTATCATAATAATTAATACAGAAGTGTGCATAATTTAAATCATCAAAATGGGCTACAAAACTTCTAACAAACTTCATGTATAATTAATATGTTCAGAAAATTTAATCTATATCATAAACATATTTCATTATATCATATATGTAAAATTATATCTGAACACTAGGATGGAGGACAAGAGTAGATTACCTGTTTATGTCCCAAGCATCTCCTTTTCTTTTTCTGAAATAACAATTAACATAATATCTGTTGAACTATTGACTCGATAGGATAAACAATTCTAATAGAAAGTTTAAGCATATAAGAAAATAACATAATTTATAATGTTAATCATTTGACCTAATATGCATATAGATATTCATCAATATAGCTAGCTTAGTGCTGTAAAATTAAAATAAATTATATTTGGATAATTACCTGAGTAAATGGCATAATCATAGGCAAACTTAAATGCTTGCCAGGAAATGAAATATAACGTTCAAGTGTCGTATCATTTAAGACTGTGTGTTAGTTTGTTGCTATATGAAGGCTGTTGTTTACATTTATTGTCTTTCCCATTCTTATTGTTCAGTCTTAGAAATGTCATATGATGTCTGTATATATTTCGCCATCTTGCCCATTGACCATTATAATTACTTATATGATTTGTGTTTAATCTGTAATGACAATTATTTATAGCGCCTTAATGCAAGGTTGGACTATATTGTAGCATGCATCTATTATCAAAAGACCAAAACTCCTTTTCGATAGGCTCATATTGTCAGGATTTTTGCCTTTTGATTTGCAGGTCATTATCATATACCAACATTACGTTTCATAATTTTTTTTTTTTCTTTTGAACATCATTCACAAGATTTTTTTTTAGCATTGATATCTCCTTATTGTTAAACAACCTGTATTAACTTGCATTTAGTAGTATAGCATGACATGTAACAATCGACATCTGGGTATTTAATTTTCATTCTATTTGATTAAGTAATATTTAAACTTGAATTATATAGAAATTATGAATTTATTTTCAATTGGTGATCATCTGAAATGTAGTAGCCTTAAACTTGATAGGTGATCATTTTCAGAAACTTAACTATACACATTTTGCTAGCCCGCTGAATATAAAGAATCATCTACTTATATAAACATCGCAGATCAAGGAGGTTTTAAGAATTAACAAATCTATGTCTGGAGATAAATTGCTTCCTATATCAGTGATACTGAGTATATCACCACAAGTATAGGATTCTCCTCTAGATGAATTTCCTTACTATCTCCCCAAAGTCTAGATCTTTCTTAAACAACCGAATCAAACACCAAATTCTTTAATTGAAGTAATTTTCTATCTTGCAATATAATTTTATATCTGATGTCTTCAAAATAATCTTTTTATCTCAAAAAGATTTCTCAAGCTTAAAAACTTGAATCCAAACTCAATTTGCGGAAGAAAACAAAAAAAAAATGGATTACCAACCTCAAACCTTATTCTCTTCTTTACTTTCTCCCATTCTTTTCGTTATTTTCTCTGTTTCGGTCCGTAGGTGAAGTAACGGGATTGGGAAATCAGGATAATGCTTAGATTAGTGCTAATATAAGTAATAAACTTTTGTTTTATAAGAAAGTTCTAATTTTCATTTGTGACGAAATTTATTAGCCATGAAGTCACCATACTATTTTTTACTTTTTATATCCATAAATTGGGATCTCTTTCAATTTGAATTGTGAACTCTTTTTGGAAGATGATCTTACTTGCCTTTCCTAATGATCTCACTGGTTGAGACCATTGGTTGAATTGCTTGAATTGCCCATTAAGTTAGTAGCCAATAGTCGAAAGGATATTGGTATCTAATGAGGCGTTTTCGTAGATTAGGATCAATTAACTAGAATTGGGTGTCACCTCAAAGTTGTTGCTTCAGGTGTGATGGAGATGGAGAAAATGTGGGGAAGAATGCAAGGGAAAGCTATGGAAATTGCTCTGATTCCATATAAAAATGGATGGAAGATTTCAATAATTTAATTCAAGTGTTCTACATAGAAGTTAGGTGTGAACCATGATTTTTTCGTGGAAAAAATTTAAAATACCTAAAAATAAACAATTAGAAATGAAAAAAAAAATCACATGATTTGAATATTTTAATTCAATTGTTATTATATTTAATGCATATGGAAGGATGGAACAATACCATAGACTAGTGAGGTGGACGATACAATCTTAGAACTGCTCTGAACAGGTGCAAGCAAATGAACAAAAGGATCCTCTGACATTCCAGTATTCGTGGACATCAAGAACAACCAATAGTTCAATTACTGTGCGATTGATATATCATATTTCTTTTTGGAGCGATTTTGAGACTATCCAACTTATTATTTTTCTCTTAATTATGTTAATTTGATTTGGAAGTTGTTTGTATTCCTTTTTTTCATTGAATTGGTTATATTGACATAGAGCTTGACATTTTTTTCCCTTTCTTTTACAATAGTTTGTTACTCAAATAGTAAATGTTCTACTTTTCTAAGTAGTGCTTCTAGTTATTATTTGGTTAGCTTCGTTTATGCCTCGGGTGGTGGGTCATATGAATTTGAGAACTGGTAAATGCAGGATTTTTTAGTGGGATAAAATTTTTCCAATGTTTGACTAATGTCAAAGATATTTTATCAGATTTGTGTTTATCTGAGCAATATTTTTGATACATTCATTTGTTATTTGAGCAATATTTTTTAGAACTGGTACTGAGCAATATTTTTGATACATTGATTTGTTATTTGAGCTTTAAGTTGCTTTGTTTCATGAATAAAGTTAAACTAATTAAATAACTAAACAACTCTCTTGTTATTTCCAAATGGTTCTTTTCCCTGTTGATGTTCGATATACAAGCTATGTTCTTGCCATCTTATACTTTAGGGTTCATACTATTTTTATTATATAGTTTTCCAGTTATAAACTAATGTGGATGAGCTGGAAAGAACTTGAAATTACATGGCAAATATAATTTGTCTAGTTTTATGGCCGATCTTCCTTAGTCTATTCCTCTCTCTTTACTATATAAAAAATGAAGAAGAATGTGAGCTTACTTCAATGATCATGCTATTCATATACATTGTTTTCAGGCTAGACGCTGAAGCAGCCAAACTTAGGCAAAGCATTGATGGGATCAAATCATTACAAATTTCTTCAAGTGAAAGTAATGACAAAACAGCAGAAAAGATGACCCTTTTGACAATGGAGGTATGGCTAATTTTTTAGTTTTAGTTCTGTATTTTTCTCATGCCCAAAACTTATTTTTATACAATACTAAGTTAGAGTATTTCTCTAATTATTATCATAGAATTTTTATTTTATTTCTTTTTGAGACATTTTACATATATTTTACTTTCGTATTTATTTTAATTATGCAAAAATGTTTTGTATAGGAATGCTGGGATAGAAATTTATGATATTCAAGCCATTTTTTTTTGTCATAAGTTGAGTAAACGTTTGTCATTAAAATAAAGGAAAGGTCACAATTATAAAGGAATAGGAGTAATGAAAGAGAATGAATTATAAGAGATGCAGCTATACGGAAATTGAGAAAAACCTAAGAGGACTAGAAGGGAATTGGTTATCTTCTAGATAATGTTGATTTTGGATAACTTATTTTATTTTGCTTTGTTAATCCCAAAATAGGCAAAATTGATAGAGTCAAACTAGATGATTTTCTCTCTATTTTTTTCTTTTGTTAGAAAATTACTTAGCATTTTTTATTTCAAATATTAAATGTGGATGAAAAGAAGAAGTTATTCTAGAGCTCTCTGCTAGTCATCTTTCGTATTTACATTTCTTCAAGTAGAAAATTCACATTCTAAGTTCTTAAAAGCTTAAGACATACAATAAAGATTATAAAGCCTCCAAATATCTGAAATAATGCTGCAATAAAAAGAAGATATGATTTTCTCACTCTTATGAAATAGTGCTGCAAGAAAAGAAGAGATGGTTTTCTCTCTCTCTTTTTTAATAAAATTATCTATCATTTTTTATTCCAAATATTAAATGTGGATGAAAAGAAGAAGGTATTCTAGAGCTCTCTGCAAGGCATCTTTGATATTAATATTTCTTCAAGTAGAAAATTCACATTCTAAGTTCTTAAAAGTTGAAGACATACAATAAAGATTATAATTCCTCCAAATATCTGAAATAGTGCTGCAAGAAAAGAAGATGTGGAAATCATCTTTATTGTTGCTTTTGCAGATGCCACTATTAGCAGGCATAAGTTTGGGAAGGAGAAACGTCCACTTAGTTGTCCTTGGTTTTTCTGGATGGAAGCTTCAAAAATGAAAATCGAGAGATTGGGAAGAACCCGAGCAACATTAGGTGAAGAGCTAAAGGCCTTTTCTTGATTAAGACGATTGAGGTGTCAGTTCAATTTTGCAAGGCAACTTTTGTAGATTTCATTCCAGGCATAATTTAAGATACTGTAATTGAAAGAGAACCTGTAATTGAAGAAATTTGTATTGGATATGAATTTAAAATGGAAACTGATAGGAAATGTGACGCACCTTTTAAATCAGACTTACCTCACTGAAGTTATGAATGAATTTACTAAAGTTACAATCATGTTCAACCTATGGAGACCCAACAGCTGAAAAGCCAAGGAGTACATTCTTTTTTATTTATTCAATAGAAACAGATGCCTGGAAGTCATCAGGATTAGAAAAAGAGAGGAAACACCCTATTCCTTTTCTAATGGACACCTTAATTTTTCATTGTCAGCATTTTCCGGAAAACCGATGTTGATAGATCAATAAAATAGATTTAAACTTGTAAATTTATATGGATGACATAGATATCATTCAATTTACTGAGCTTAGCTTCTATTAACAAGTCTTTTGAAAGTGGATGTTTGTCCACACAAATCAGCTTCCCAAATTGATATTGAACGAAACCAAAAGCATCCCATTTATAGTGCAAAATGGGAAACTATGAATTCCAACCCAAACATGTACATAATATCTAGCAGTAGAAGCTCCAATGTTCTGATTCTAGTGCTTAACCATGATAGAAAAAACATCATGTTTAACATATCCACTAATGGATCACCAATCTTCTTATAACCCAAACATATGACCCCATTTTAGCAATCTATAGTGAAATGACCCCTCTCCAAACGCTTGAAACATTTTTTTTTGGTCTCATCTCTACATGCTTGAGAAAATTCAGATTTAGTCAAGAATGAAAAGGACCTATTTTGATGTGTGAAGCATTTTTTACCGCGTCAACAAAGAAGCTATCAAAGACTTATATAGGGAGGAGTGTACAACTCTCAGCCCCTGCCTAGGCATAAAACCATATCTTCCGCACGTCAACCACCTATCCTCCTTAAAAATACATGAATCTTCCTTTCATGATGTTCCTAATAAGTCCTACACTTCGTAACTAGAAAATTCTCTCTTTTTTTATTTGTGGTTATGTATTGGGGATTTAAAATTTGTGAAATCACCACAATAAATTTTTTTCTTAGATTTTTTTAGGTATATGTCTAATTGGATCTAATTGATTGCCTTATCACATGCATTCACTTGTCCTATTAATGTTTGAAATTTTAAATATAACTTTTTTTTGTGGGTTTTCTTTATTTATCATCTTCATTGTGGTGCAGGTTTTTTTGATTCATCTGCTTGGCCTTAAAACTTTTACAATTATTTTTACCTTTTTTAGTTGATAGAGTTGTTAATGCATTTGACTAATTGGGTGAATCAGCTCATGCCTACCCCTATCTTAGTTATGCTGGAAAATATAATCTGCACTTTTCGGGTTTTTATGGGTCATCTTTTTTAACAAAGATATGTTTTGGTTTAGTATAAGGCCTGCTATGGCTTCAAATTGTTTTGGTTGTTTTGAATCTTCAAGCATGTATATTCATACCTTTTACTTTAAAAGGTATTTATGCTTTGTATAGAAGAAAATGAGTATCTCTTTGTTGTTGCAGTAAGCGTTCACTCAGTTGTGAATATCTTTAGTGCTTTTTATTTTTATAGAACAGTTATAACAATATGGCATACTCTTTTTAGGCGATATGAAGATTTTTTAATTTAGCAGTAAGCTTTTTGTTTAAATAACCATGCTCATCTTTTTGGGCACGGTACTTGCTTGGGCTGAAGAGTTAGCTTCAGCTCGTAGAAGTAAAGCCATTTAACATTGCAGGATAATTTTTTTTTTAAAATATGCTTGAGAGTGACTTTATGAGGTTTGGGCGTGTTTGACTAATATATTTATATATTCGTAGGCACAGTTCTTTTCTTTGTGTGAGCATCTTAGCATGATCTGCTTTATTTATTTATTTACTTATTTTTTTGGCGGCGTGGGAATAGATCTGAGTGGATGAAAACCTGAAGAAAGTTATGCATTCGTTTTTAGGCCTTTTAATAACTGGGAATTTTGAGGCCTTTTTATTGTCTTTTAATGCATGTTTCTAATTTATAAAACTATTATCATCCTAAAACGTTTCTTATGCTTATGATTTTGATGCTAATGTGCGAATTTAGTTATCAATTATATTCAAAGTATAGTGTTATTCAAATTTTTTTTTTCTTTTTTGGGGAATTTTTAGGCCCTCAAAGGCACACTGGCAGAAGTTCGGCTATGTTTCAGAATTGAGGCCTTGCTTCTAAAGAAGAAAACCATAAATCCTGGAGATTCACCTGAAATCCATTATCAAAAGGTATGTTGCCAGATATATACTCCCACACCCGTAGAGTATAAAGTGACATTTTGAACGCATGTGCAAGTGGATATATTTTCAAACTATGCGCTCATATGCTATTTTTTATATTAGTGGAGTTCAGTATATGTAGTGGTGATGGAGTAACATCATATTTTCTTAATTACATATAATCTAAAGATGATGTTGAAAAATGTGCTTGAATTAAGTTCAAATGGTATTTCCCATTTTGCTATTGAGTAATGTTAGCATTTTTTTGAGTTCTTAGTATAAACGAAGTTTTTCTTATTTATTTATTTCTGTTTGATTTTTCAAGGATGTCTGCGGTGAAAATTTCAATGGGATAGCCTATTTTATGTATTCATGCTAATTAATTCGATAAAGCTGCAGGATTTCCATTCCTTGTGGTGACATTGTTCAAAGCCTATTACTGAATCAGATGCTGAAATTAATTATCACTTCAGCTATTTCACTTTAATGAATTTCAGGGCTTTTCCATTAGATATTCTAGATTACTATTCTTCATCCTTCTGCTTTTGAGATGTTTGCTTAAAATGGAAATGAACTTGGCAACTAGAAATGTACAAAAAAATTAACAACAAATGGTTTGTTGTGTCTCACTTCATGAGATTATTGCTGAAGAACAACATCATTATGAATTTGCTTATTTTGTATGTAGCCCAAAATTAGTGAGTTGATGTAAAGTTAGCACCGATTATCTTCTTGATTGACTATGCTGGCACTCTAATCTCTTGCAGTAGAAAGAATGTTATGTGAGAATTTTGTTCCGACTTCTATTTGAATAGAAGCATTGAAATCTCCATTAGCTTTATTTAACCTGGGGGCTAAAAAGTAATCTTTTTGCACGTACAATATTCTAATTAACCTCTTTTGGAGATTTGTCATTTTTATAGCTAGCTTCTTGTTGACCTCATTTTTGTGAGGTCTTCTTTTCTCCTCCTTAGAGCCTAGGATCTAGTTCTAGGAGTTCCTATTGACCGTCCTAGAAAACTAGAATTGAGACTCACCCTTTTAGAAAATTCTAGTCAATTCCTATTTTCCTTTGATGTCTAGCATCTAGCATCTTTGGCACAAGACCATCATCTTATAGACGAGTGGTTATGGGTTATTTTGCGAAGACTCAAGGGAAAAGTTTCTGATAGGACTTCAAGCCTTAGGAAAACATCGTCACGACCTTTTTCATCACATACACACACAAAATGCACATAATTCAATGAATTGCACGAAATCGGACTTCAATTAAGCCTAAAGGACGAGTGAAAATGCGAACTTCTCCGGATGACCTCCGACGACAAATTGGACTGCGCCAACGCGTCCGAGATACCAATTTTGGTAGGAAATGACACCCATATTGCTATACTTTCGACACGAGAAAATTGGCACGCAAATCGGTGAATTCGTCAAAATGATCTCTGACGGCAAAATAAACTGTACCAGAGCGTTCGGAATGTCGAAATTACCTAGGGAGGACACCTATTTTGCTTGGGAGCCGCACATGGATAAATCGCATGAAATTTGATATATATATATATATATAT